GGCAGGCCCGACCTACTAATGGACTCCGACTGTATCTTGGGCATGAGCTCGATCGTGTGCAATGGCGAGGACCGCGATTGTGGACACGCAAATGCGCGTGTCACTGGGGCGTTCGGTGGGGCTCCCTATGGGGCCACGAACCGTGCGATAGATGCGCCGTGATGTGTGTGGTGCGTGGTGCGTGTGTCTGTGGTGCCGGTCGTGTGTGTGTGTGTGTGTCGTGTTTGTGTGGTGGTGGTTGACGGTTGGTGGTGGCGGTGGTGGTGTGTGTCGGGGGGGGGGGGGCGTGCGTGGGGGTGGCGGTGGTCGTGGTGGGTTGGTGGTGGCGGGGGTGGAGCTGGGCGGGGGTCTCTGGGTGGGTGGGCGGGCCATGGGCGGCGCAAGCGCCATGGGCGGCGCAACCGCACGTGCACGTGCCGTCATAGGCGGCCAAACGCAGTACACGTCGCTTGGAGCTCCATATGGGCCCGCGAATGGCGCGAGCAAAGGTCGCCATTTGGACTTTATGTGGAGCTCCTCATGTGGCCACGGGCCGCGTGATGGGGCGTGCCGTAATGGGCGGCACGGACGCTTGTGCGACGCCGCCTCAAGTCAAAACCCCCATGCAGCCACGGACCGTGCGAGGGGTGCGCCGCAATGGGTTGCGCGCGCGCGTGCGAACTTCGCCACTGGGGCCTTGGGTGGAACTCTTTCTGAGGCGACGGGCCGCGCGATTGAGAGCGTCGCAATGGTTGGGCAGCCTTTCGTTGAGATCCTTCTGGGGCCACGAACCGCGCGAGGGCGCGCCGCGATGGGTGGCCCAGGAGCGTGCGACCGTCGCCACGGGTGCTTTAAGTGGAGCACCATGTGGGGCCGCGAACCGCGCGATGGGGCGCGCCGTAATCGGTGGCGCGGACGCATGTCCACGTCGCCACAGGGGGCTCAGATGGAGCCCCCTATGGGGCCACGGTCCGTGCGAGGGTGCGGCATGATGCGCGGCGCGGACGCATGTAAGCGTCTCTACTGGGGCCTTGGGTGCAATTCCATAAGTGGCCATGAACCATGGGAAGGGCGCAGCGTTGTGGCGCGGATGCGGCGCACGGGACTTGTGCGTAGGCGTCGCGCGCGCGTGGCACACCGACGTGGCGCATGGACATTCGCGCACGGATGCCACGCGCGGGCGCTGCTGTGCACGGGCGCTGCGCGCGGACGCGGGGGGGGGTGGGTGGGGGGGAAGGGCGCGAACAGAGCGGGGACGCGATGGAGTGGGGTCGGGTGGGATGAGGGGTGGCGGTAGGGGCGGGAGGGGGAGCGGCGGGGGGGCTAAAACTGCGCGATGCAGGCGCGCCGTAAAGTTCGCGTAGGATGAATGCATTAAAGCATATGGCGATCCACATCAAAATAGCAACGACGCCTTAACAGTCGCGGCAAACGAAGAAGAGCAGCGCTGGCTGTGCGTTGGACAAGGTAAGGAGGTATATTGCACTGGTACACAAGAGTTGTGATTAGTTGCAGGAGCCCGTGTAGAGCAAAGCCTGATGGGGGGAGCGGGCATTGGATATATTGGGCAAGAAATGTGCACGTGGTCTGCGCATGCGGATTGGGCGTTGAGTTGCGCTGTGCTACCGCGGTGACATTTGCGTCGTGGACGCCGCCATGGTGGCCGCGTGTGTTACGAAATCTACGCGTCGAACCCTGAAGAGACGCCCGCGTCGAACTCGGTCTTGCCGCCCTTTGCACCACCGCTACTTGTGGATAGCGTCTGGCTGGCGTTTGAATATGCCAGGGTGGGGTGGGATGAGCTGCGGGGCAGGTTTGCGGACCACGCTAATGCTACGAATCGTACGGCGCAGGATAGTTGCAGAGATGCGGTTGACCTTGATCACAGCATGTGTAGGAGTAGGGGTTGGAAAGGGCGCGGTAAGGCACGTTAGTGCAGAGTAGATTTTCAACGCTCTAAATATGCATAAAACGAAGCCAGCGTAGTGTCTAAATAACATTGGATGTAATAGAACCTAGTGCCTCCAGCGAAGATGGAGGGCAGGATCCCGTTGAGTACGACACGGGCTGGGGTAGCGCGGCGTGGAAAGCATGCGCACAATTTGTTATAAGATCTCTCCTGGTGAGCTGCTCGTTGGCGGAAGGGGAGGAGCAGGGAACAGGAAAATCGACAAAGGTTACTTCCTGAAAAGTTGTTAACCGCGCGCCGCCGACTAGCGTGGAAAAGTGTCACGGGAGAAAAGGTATGACAGGCAACCACGACATCAAATGACGAACTGGATGTGACCGTCTGGATGGCACGTGCCACGGCGGAAGCCCCATGGAGAAAACCAACTGTGCATTTTTGACTGGGCGCCAACATGAACCAAGGAAACCTCAGAAAGGCAACTCGTGACACGTGTCACCGAGGAAACCGCTAGAGGAAAGCCAACGGTGCATTTTTGATTCTGGACGCCGCCATGATCCAAAGAAGCCTCAGAAAAGCAACGGGCGATACGTGTCACCGCGGAAACCGCTTGGAGAAAACCAAACGTAATCGTTTGATTCTCGGCGCCAACATGAGCCTGGGAATCTTCAGAAGAAAAGCAGGTGACGCGTGTCACCACGGAAACCGCTTGAGGAAAACCAATGGTACATTTTTGAATCTGGACGCCATCATGGGCCAAGGGCGCCTCAGAAGAGCAGCGGGCGACAAGCCCCCGCGGGGGAGGAGGGGGGAGGCAAAGAAGGGGGCGTGGGGAACATGAAGATATACCGTTGCCGGGTCAAAACTGACACAAGATCGGGGAGAAGGCGACAACCCAAAAATCTGCAAGGATGCCCAAGGGGCCGTGCAACGCCATTACGCGGCAAGAAACGCGCGGGGATGCGCCCGCCCAAACGAGAACATGGGCAAGGATACGGAAGGATCCCCAAGGGTACCCTTGCCTCCCCCATCCCTGCGACGCCGCCGTGCAACGGGCTTCAACCCCAAACGGCAAGGATGAATGTGCCGCCAAGGGTACCCTTGGACGGCCGAAGCAGCAGCCAAGGATGCCGGGAAAGGATGATGGCTTGACGTCTTATGGCTTGGGGCGCCTTAACCGCGTTAGTGGGCCAAATTTCCTGGTGGCACCACCTTTGATTGCACGGTGGGCGACCGCGTCCGTCGCGGTCGCGTTTCATGTTGTCTGCGGGCGGGTCCCGCCACTTGCAATTCAGAACCTGCGGCGCAGATTCCGTGACATTGCGGGTGGGTAGGATTCGTCCACCCTTGAGTCGCCTTTCACAGTTCTTGTCCTGCTCCACGACCCGCGCACCAGTGGTGGCGATGCATGCGGCCTGTAGCTGGGAGCGCGGCGAGGGCCGACAACGCAAAACAGAAGCCGACCCCGAACTGGCTACGCATGCTGGGCGTGTGTATCATTATCGCAGTGTCGCACGGGTCGAACATTGGAATGCCCCTGCACCCGTCCACTCAGCCTACCCCCCTATGACCCGCGCAATTACAAAAAATCAAGTAAAATTTTACTTGGCGTTTCAATTCTTGGGTAAATCAATTTCGTAGTGATGCAGCGGTATAAAATATCAAATACCCCAAAAAACATTCAAAACATATTCAAAAAATAGTGTGGGGACTTTTTTTTAGTATTTTCTGATCTTGTTGGAGCATTTTTGGTTTTTATTTTTCGTAGAAAATCCCCCTGTATGGGGGACAGGCCCGACTTAAGCATCGGCGCATCCGTCACCACACGGATTGTGGGGACTCGGAGGCCCCCCGGCTCCGCCCGGGACGCCCTCGACGTGCGGCCACCCCGCATCCGAAGGCGACGCCCCAGTGCAGGAGCAGGAGTAGGAGAGGCTGGGAGGAAGCCCCCCCTCCCACAGCCTCTCCTTCCACCTCCCCTCCCCATTTAGGGGGCCACATGCCCCTACCCCCCACGATTTCTGAGGGGGAGGGTGGGGTTCACTTCGCTCGGGAGTTCCCGAACGAAATGAACCCCACCCTCCCCCTAATTCGTTGGGGGTGGGGGGTAGGGTTCGCATGTGGCCCTCTACCAGTGTCCCCCGTCATCCAATGACTCCCTCGATCCTCGGGGTTCTGGCGGACGAGCCCGGGGCACCCTCGGAACGCCCAGGGCGGGACGCGGGTGCTGCCGGAGCACGCCTCCGGAGGCTGGAGAGCACCGCGGCGAGAGCCCACGCGAGCGCCCGAAGGCCTCGAGGGCTCGAGGCCAAGTCGTTCCCAGGCATCCGCCGATGGGGATGGCCCACTCCGCGGCCCCAGCACCCTGCCGTCGCTCGGACGTCCATTCCCCGTGCATGTTTCGGTGTCGTGCGTGTTTTTTTTTGTTGCGCGATGGTCCAGGATGGTCCTCGATGGTCCTCGCCGAGACAAAAAGGCACAGGTCCGTGCCAATCGGGAGCGGCCAAGGGGGGTGGTCCAAGAGGGGGGGGTGCAAATCATGACGGGCGGCACGTGCGCGGCCCAGCGGGGGGGGCCTGGGACGTAAGAGAATAAGCAGAGGCGCCATGAAAGCTGAGGAAACATCATGGCCCGCGCCATGAAATCCACCCCCCTAGTCATACCCCCCCTCTCTTCCGCTCCCGAGCCAGGGCAGAGGTCCTTCCGGACCCCTCCCCCGGGGGTTTGGCAGTTTTTCCCCCCTGGATCCGGCCTTGAGGGCCTTTTCCAGGGCCCGCTCGCGGGCCCCATGGAGGCTGGGGGCCCACAGGGAGAGAAACGCCAACCGGACGGCAAGAATCACGGTCTCGGGCCTCTATATATGGGCTCTCGAGGTCCCCACGCCTTCGGTCGGGCATGTCCCCCTACAGGCCGACTGTGGGCGAAAAATAAAAATAAAAAAAAAAAAAAAAAAAAAAAAAAAAAAAAAAAAAAAAAAATAGCAACAACAAAAAACAATCGTCCCCAGACTATTGCTTGCCTATTGTTGAAGATTCCTCCTGTACGGGGACAGGCCCGACTTCACCCCAGCCCCCCAGCCCCTCCCTCCGGAAAGCAGGCGCTCGCGGCCGCCGGCCTCACCGCGGAGACGTCCAGGGCCTCGCCCGCGAGCGCCAGGCACCGCAGGAGCTGCGGCTGCGTCCGCAGCAGCTCCTCGGGACGCACATCGGCGCACTGGTACTATTTGTGTCCACCTTGGAGGCGCGCGTCCGACCCGAACATGTAGTTTACACATCTCGTAGTGGCATCGCTTCCCGAGCGGCGCGGCCAGAAAACGCCCGCCAGGACGCATATGCTATAAGACTCTTCGGTGCGCGCGTCGCCCCTGGGGGGGGGGGGGCGACGCACGCATTGTGTTAGTATGTTGGGGTGCATAGTTTCCCACGGGGCCGTAGGCGACCCGAGGAGGAGGAGGAGAAGGATGAGGACGAGGAGGAGAGGAGCGGAGGAGGATGAGAAGGGGAGGAGAAGGAGGAGATGGAGGAGGAGGAGGAGGAGGAGGAGGAGGGGGAGGGGGATGAGGAGATGGAGGAGGAGGCGGAGGAGGAGGAGGGGGAGGAGGAGGGAGGAGGAGGGATGAGGAGGGAGGAGGAGGACGAGGGAGGACGAAGAGGAGGAGGAGGAGGAGGAGGAGGAAGCGGAGGAGGAGGAGGAGGAGGAGGAAAGGGAGCAGGAGGGATAAGACGAAGCCAAGACGAAGATAGCATCGCGGGAGGATAAACCGAGATTCTCTGAGACTCGGCGGACCTGGAGGCTAGGATGCCCCGGGCGCCGCGGCCGGAACGCTACGAGAGGGTTCCAGACAGCTCTGGACGGGTTTTCGTCGTCCTGACCCCGTCGGACAAGGTCAAGTGGCAACTCCTGGCGGCGCGCAGAAGGGTGCAAGGAGAGGGGGGGAAGGCTTCTGAGAAGGAGGCTGCTTCTCAGAGGGCGCCAGCCTGACACCTCTAGAGAAGGCCGCGCGCCTTTTGAGGAGCAGTCTCCTTCTGAGAAGCCTTCCCCCTGCCCCTACCCCTCTGCCCGCTGCCAAATCTCGTGGGAGCATCTCCTGCCATTCCCCTGGCTCTTGCAAAAAGACGCGAATCGACGCCCATCGACGCTAATCGGAGCGCCAAATCGACTCTCATCGACGCCAGGTCGGCACTCTCTCATCGATTGCCAGACGCTACCGCACGCGAATGCACTCTAAAGGCGGAAAAACGTGGACATACGAGGCTCCCATTTTTTGCTCCCGAAAGGGTGTAGTAACGGGGGGCCAGCGAATCATCTCACGTACACTGCCCTGGCGCCTGCTGACGCTGGCGGCACCAATGTATCGAGGAAAGCGACCGGCGGTCCCGGCGGCGGGGTCGAAACCAGTTGCACGCAGCAGCTTTCGCCCCCTTCTAATCTCCCAATGTCTCGTCCGATCCGATTACTCGTCCGTCTCGCTATCCTGCACGCTTCTCTCATGACCACCCCCTGCTCGTGCCGACGCTGCTGAGCTTGCCATCGCTCGGACACCCCTTCCCCATGTACTCGTCGGCCTCGTTCGTGAACTGAACATTATCGCAAACTTGGCCAAGATGCTCCTCGATGATCCTCGCCGACAGTTGCTTTTAAAAATAAGAGTTTGTTGTATATATGTATATATACATACAGATGCTTGTTATTTTGATGTACAGATCTCTCTCACACGCATATATATATATATATATGTGTATATATATATATATATAGATACACACAGAAATCTAGATAGCGCGAGCAATGCCAAGGAAAGAGGGGTGACCCCTGGCAAAGTCCTGCGGAAGCCTCTGGGAGCTCTGCCCACGACCGCGACTGAGGCCCGGCAGCCGCCGCGGGGACGATGCCCCGCCGCGCCCCTCCTCCGCCCCGCGGGGGGAGGGCGCCCTGGCCGTCGCTCTCGGACGTCCGTGCCTCGTGCCTCCCTCTCTCGGTTGCGCGCGCGTGCTCTTCCTGCCGGAGGGTCCAGGGTGCCCCTGGGTGGTCCTCGCCGAGGAAGAGGACGAAACAAAAAAAGGCACACGTCCGAGCGATGCCGAGACAGCGGAATCCTTCCTGAGCTCCATGATCGGGGAGGCGGGGGCGAAAGTCGGAGGGAGCGAAGGGGGGGGTTAGCAAAGGGTATAGGGTAGAGGCTCAGCTCACGTAGCTGATTTTCCCAGCGCCTCCCGGCGCCAGGAGGCGCCCATGTATCGCGGAGTGGGGCCCGGCGGCGGGGCCGAAACCAGCTGCATGCAGCAGATTTCGTACCCCCTCCTTTCCCTATCCCCCCCCTTCGTTCGGCCCGAGAGAGGGTAAGGAATAGCGAAGGGTACAGTCGGGGATCTTCTGACACGGGTCAATCCAGACCCGGGTCAGCAGGAAACCAAAAACTGCAATGCAACAACAACAACAACAAAAACTGCATCGCAGGTCTTCGCAAACCCGGGTCAACAAAAATATGCGCGGCCGCCTCGCGGCCACGAGCGGCTCGCTAACCCGGGTCAGCGAGGGGGTCTTCGCAGGATCCTGCAGGATCTGGTGCCCTGGCGGACCCCCGTCTGCATCGACCCCCGTCTCTTAGGCCCCGAAAGTACAAGGTCAAAACGCGACTCCGGTAGCCGGTCTTCCTGGCGCCTCCTGGCACGGGGGGGGGGCGCCCAGGTCTCGAGTCGGCCCGCCGGTGGAGCCGAAACCAGCTGCGCGCAGCAGATGTCGTCGCCCCCTCCTTCCCTATCCTGCCCGTTCGTCCAGCCCTGCATGAGTCGGGCGCTGGTAGAACTGGGTTTAGTGGAGCCTGGTTTAGTGATGTGTACCCGGGGGCGCCCCCCCCGCCCCGTTCCGCTAACCGGAACTGCCGTCACCCGAAAAACACCAGTTACGGCAAACCTGGTTTAGTGAATTTGGCCAATTGAGGAGCCCCAGGGCCGTACCACTAACCGGGTCCCCTTACCCAGGGTCCTGGCCATACCCGACCTGCATGAGAAAAGGCGGGTGCGAGCATGCATTTCTCGTGGCGCTGCGCAAGACATCCAGAGACAACGCCTGGGAGATCCTTGTCAATTAGGCCGGATTGAATCTGAGACTCGGCCGGATGAAACGGGATCTGGTTGGATTGAGCAGAACAAGGCCAGATTAGGCGGGAAAAGCCTGATGAATCGGAACTACGACAACTTCGGCGACTTGTCGGCAAAGGATATGCCAGCACCGATCCTGAATATCCGCCGGCCCCCTTGCGTGGCCACCAGGCTGCGAGGGTGAGGATTGCAGCTCCCTGTACCAGTTGCAGATTCCAGTTTCCACTGTTACATTACACCATATTCACGTCTTCGAGGCCATAAGCCCTTGTGAATTACGCGAAATTCGCGTCCTCGAAGCCGTAAACCTGTGTACATGAATAAGATTCGCGTCCCCGAAAACATGAACCATCGTGGATTACACAATGTTCGCGCCGCCGAGACCATACACCCAGGTAAAGCAAAGAATAGTTGCGTCCCCGAGGCCATACGCCCTTGTAAACAACACCATGTTCGCGTCCCCCGAGGCCATAGACCCTGGTACCTTTGCGCCCCTGAGGCCACACGCCCTCGCAAATCATACAGGATTCGCGTCCCCGAGGCCACACACCCTCGCAAAGGACGCCATAGCTGCGCCCTTGTAAAATATACCATGTTTGCGCCCCCGAGGCCCCGCACCCTCGTGAATTACGCAGTAGTCGCGTCCCCCAAAGCCGTAAGCCATAGTGAATTACATAAGGCGCGCGACACCGAAGCCATACACCCTCGTAAATTAACACCAGCCCTGGCGGAAGCGCAGACATTGCTTCACGTCAACGTCCAGTCATCCCAGCACAGCTCTGGGAAGTCCCATTCTAAGAGAGGGGTGCCGGCGGCATAGGGGGCGAAGGCCTTACGGATACTACTCAGGAGTTGCACACTGAAGGACTCAGTTAAAATTGATGGTAAGGACGTGCGATAAAAATGCCAGACCCTTGCACGCCCATGTCGAAGCAGCTTGAGTGGGGCTGGCCATCGAAGGTGGTGAAGGACAGACCGAAGAGGCAAGGATGCACGGGTACAGCCCGACCAAGGGCAGAAAAACATCCTTCAAGAGCGCGAGACCCTCCGCGGACCAAAACAACCCAAACCGTACGATCACCGAGGGTACCCTTCCCCAGGATGCACAAGGACATACGACACACACGACGAGCACTCGGGTAGCCTCCCCGAGGCGAAATCAACCTTACACTTCGGTCCGCCTGTACTCTTGGAAAGGGTACCCATCCTGAGCATCGGATTCGACTCCATTAGTCTTCGAGTTCCATGCGAGGCACCCGTGCGTGTGTGCGATAGAAGCAGATTAGCCTGGCGAAGGACACAACAATATGCAGTTGTTAAGCGCAGTTGCGGATATCGCCTTCGGTGGAGCACCCTATGGGCCACGAAGCGCTCTGCTGGGTGGTGGAGCCGCATGTGGACACCGTCACTGGGGCCTCAGGTGGAGCTCGTGATAGAGCTACGAAGCGCTGTCCTGGGTGGGGGAGACGCATGTGGGCACCGCCACTGGGGCCTTCGGTGTGGCTCCCTATGGGGCCACGAAGCGCTGCGCTGGGTGGGGGAGACGCATGCGGACACCGCCATTGGGGCCGTAGGTGGAGCTCACGAAGCGCTCTGCTGGGTGGTGGAGCCGCATGTGGACACCGCCGTTGGGGCGTGAGGTGGAGCTCCCGATGGGGCCGCGAAACGTTGTGCCGAGTGGGGGAGACGCATGTGGACACCGCTACTGGGGCCTCAGGGGGGGCTCCCAATGGGGCCACGAAGCGCTGAGCTGGGTGGGGGAGACGCATGTGGACACCGCCACTGGGGCCTTCGGTGGAGCTCCCTAATTTTTGGGCCACGAAGCGCTGAGCTGGGTGGGGGAGCCGCATGTGGACACCGCCACTGGGGCCTTAGGTGGGGCTCCCGTAGATTGGGCTCCCGGCCCGAAGGGGCCACGGAAAGGCTGCGCTGAGTGGGGGAGCCGCATGTGGACACCGCCGTGGGGGTCTTCAGTGGGGCTCCCGATGGTGCCACGAAGCGCTGTGCTGAGTGGGGGAGACGCATGTGAACACCGTCATGGGAGCTTTCGGTGGAGCTCCCTATGGGGCCACGAAGCGCTGTGCTGGGTTGTGGAGCCGCATGTGGGCACCGCCACTGGGGGGGGCCTTCGGTGGAGATCCCTGTGGGGCCACGAAACGCTGGGCTGGGTGGGGGAACCGCACGTGGACACCGCCACTGGGGCCTCAGGGGGGGCTCCCTATGGGCCACGAAACGCTGCGCTGGGTGGAGAAGCCGCACGTGGACACCGCCACTGCGGCCTTCGGTGGAGCACCCTATGGGGTCACGAAGCGCTGTGCTGGGCGTCGGAGACAGAGGCATGGAGAGGGAGGAGGAAAGAGAGGAAACGCGGGGCGACGTCTCGTCAAAACGAGGAACGAACACCACAGGATTTGTTGAGGAACACCGCCGCCAACGTAAACTGCTCTGGACCCCCTCCCTGGCGCGCTCCGCGCGCCAGGGGCGGCGCTGGAGGCGCGCCGTGGGGGGGATGACCCACGCAAAGCCAAGAACTCCGCGCGGCGCGCCAAGCGTTTCTGTGTATGGCGTGTCTTCGTCTTCGACGAAAGAGAAAAAGAGAGAGAGAGAGAGACAGACAGACAGGACACGTTTCAATCTATACATATATATACACACGCACACGCATGTTATTATATGTGTATATGTATATTATATATATATATATTGATATTATATTATATATATATATACATTCCTCTCCCCCCCCAGCGGCGGAGAAACGGCCGCCGGAGCGGGTCCTCGCGCACCCGGGGGCACGGGAGCAGGGTGGCCAGCGCGCGCATCGCGTGGGCCAGCACCTCGCAGGAGGGGAGGAAAGTCGAAGAGGAGGGAGGGAGAAGGATTGAGGAGGAGGGGTATGGGGACAGGGGAAAGGGGAGGAGGAAAAAGGGGAAGAGGAAGAGGACGAAGAGGCAGGCGACCGCGACGAACGGGGAGAGGGAAGGAGAAAAACAGTTCGGCTGTAAACCCAAGACCCACCAAGGATGTTGCAAGAACTCCCCACTCCGAGCTTCCTGTTCATAGTCCCCTACGAGGACATATTTTTATTCAGGAAGTGCCCAGATGGAAGACAATCGTCTGAACATGCTGAACCGCACCAACACATCATTCGTGAGACTCGAACGCCAGGAAGAAGCGTTGTTGTTGCGTCCTGGCGATCCTGACTCGCTCCACAACGCAACTCCTCGGACTTCATCGCCGCGAACCAATCCTAATCGTGCAAGAACACCATTTCAATGATATGCCCACCAACAAAATCCTTGAAAATGTTGTCGAACGTGCGCGGCGCAAGGGCGCCAATCACTCTTTTCTGTTGAGACGGAGCCGCCCTCCATCCGTGGAACGCCCGCAAGCTATCCAATAAGAAAGTACGCGGCGCTAGAGAAGAAACACGGCCCGCCTTCCGTCCGCGAGCCGGTTGCGAATGTCAAGTTCGATCTCCAGCGAGACGCCCGGTCCGCCCCGCCGACGCGCTCCGAGCTGCGACGCGGGAGAGATTGTTGTATACCCACCAGTCGGGGAGACTAGGTAGAAAATGAAGTAGGACGGCATGGAAAGCAGGTTGGGTGCCGTCCGCCCCGTAAGGAAGACGAAACAAGTGAAGCCACTCGATCATTGAACTAGGACGGCGTTTGGGGTAGATTGGACGCGGGGACTCACAGAATACCGACCTTCACCGACCGATGGGTCATGAATAGGGGAATGGGTTACGGCGAAGGCCCGGGCAACGAATGCGGGAGGAAAAGGCGAGCGGGGGGGGGGGGAGCTGGAACGGACGACCGAACGCCGGGGCCGCGCGCGCTTTCTGGCAGGGAGAACGGCCGTGCCCAGCACGGCATGGGTCAGCCCCCGTCGCCAGAAGGGGCCGCCCAGAATGGGCCGCCCTTCGCGGCAAGGGGCGCGCCGACCCCGCCCACAGTAGGCTGCCGTCAGCGGAAAAGGACCGGGCTCTGACCACTTCGAGCATGCATGTGTACGCCGCGCGGCGAAAAGGCGCCACATTGAGGGGCCGTGACCCCCGCGCAGATGTTCCTTACCTGTCTCACGGAATAGGAAAAGACAAAGGGGGCAGGTGCCGCAACCAGTCACCTGCAGCGAGAAGAGGGACAGAAAGAGCAACCTGATTTCTGGACACTGCACAACCTCCGACTGCGACTGCACGGCGGCGCTGTTCAAGCAGCTCTAGCATGGGACCTGCACGCAGAAAACGACAACCGCCATGCGCAAAACAAAGCACGAGGAATACGCATGGCCCCCGCCCAGGGTGGGTTGCTCTTCGCGATGACGGGCGCCTGCTCTTCGCGATGAGGGGCGCAGGCGGGTACGATGGCAACGGCCGAGATCTGACTGGACCTCGGGGTCGCATGCAGGGGCGTTGGCCTCACCTGCTCGCCCATGCAGCCCGCTTGCACGTCAGGGGCGATGTCGGACGAGGCCGCTCCAACATGTGCGCGGGGAGAGTAGAAGATACGCACATACAGCGCAATGGAGAATGGATACGAGTGCAAGCATCATCTTTCACTCGGGTTGGCACCTGGAGTGAAAAAAGAAGCCCCTGGATGGAAAAGAAGCGAAAACACAACTGATGAAAAGACAACAAAGACAATATGTTCGACAATGGGGCACGATCGAAATATCTCTCCCGTGCTGGACGCATTGGAACATCGGCGTGTAAGCAAACGTGGGTGTTGCCACCGGCTGAGGACGGATACCTGCACGCGTATGCAAAGTCGCCGATTTAGCTCCCAACCGGTACTGCCAATGACGATCACATGACCCAGAAGGCAAAGCAAAAACGGCTGATAACCTGTGGAAGGAACGAGTGTGCCTGAGAGAGCGTATCTGCATGTGCCCACCCCCTGAAGGACAGAACCCGCACTATGAACCGGGATCCCCCCCCAACGACGCGCGGGCCTTGAGGGCAACGCACACTGAGGTGAGAGGTAGAAAAATGTAGGCGTCGCCACCGACATAGCTTGCAACATCTTGACAGACCTTTGTTTAAGAGGCGAATTCTATACAGCAAAGCTTTTCTTGCCCTTCGTGTAATTTTGTGCAAAAGCGGACCCTGGTGTATAGAAAACCCTGGTGTATACATGTTTCTTTGTTTCCACGGGGAACGGGAAAAAACAATGATACGCCACACCGCCCCGACGTCGTCCCCGACCATCAAAAAAAGTCCGGGGAATGAAAAGACGCCCGCCACTGGCAGTGTACGTGCTCCAGTTTTCCGCTTTGCCCCTTCCGACGATCGCGCCCCCCCCCCCCCCGAGGGTCCGCCCCCCCCAACAGTACGCAAGGGCGCCGCAAAACGTCGCCGCGGGAGGCTGCCGCCCGCCCCCCCTCCCCTGCACCGCTCCTGGGCCCGGGCTGTCAGGGCACGCGCCCTCCTGGCCTGGCCCGGGCGGGTGGGTACCGGGGGGGGGTGGCACGCACGGGGCTTGCAGGACAAGATCCTCACAACAGGGGGCCCTTCCGAGCCCCCTACTGTTTTGCACCGGCTGGCCCCAGAGAGGGCCCCACAGGGCCCCCTTTGGAGCCCGTCTCTTTACCCCCCCTTGTGTCGGCGACTCCGAAGGCTATGGTTTGCAAGGGCGGCGCCCTGGGGGGCACCCCAGGGGGCGGACGGGGACCTCGACGGAGGTCTCCGCCGCGCCCCGAGGAGCTCCAGCGAGGACCGCATCGTGCCCACCAGGCCCCAGCGGTGCCGATCGCAGACCACACCCCGGCGCAACCATACCCTTTGAATTTTGGACACCCGAAAGGGGTACGGAAAAAATGGGCACAATGCCCAACAACAACTGTTGTCCCACACCAACAGAGGCCGCTGTTGGGCAGGCGGCCCTCTGCCTCAAACGTAATTACACGGGCCGTGGAAGTACCGACAGCGAGTCCTGTTCAAAGTGAACAGGGACCGCTGTTGGGCATTGTACCCATTCTTTTCGTACCCATGGCGGTCGAGCAGAGGGATAGAGTCAAAACGGGTAGCTCCAAAGCGAAGTGAACCCCACCCTCCTCCTCAGAAATCGTGGGGGATAGGGGTAGGGTTCGCATTGTACCCATTCTTTCCGTACCCCTTTCGTTCGTGCCGATGGCAGTCGCCGAGCGTGAGCCACCCTCCACTTACCGCCCGCCCGACCGGAGGGCAGCCACGCCGACCCCGGCTCCCAAGATGGGCCCCGGACGCGGCAGGGCCGTTTTTCCACCGTTTCCAAAAGATGTCCCTTGAAGATGGAAACGGCAAAAACACGGCGACCGGAAACGGCCCAAAAAGGGCTCCAGGCTTGGAACCGGAGCCGGAACCGGTCAATAAACACGGCGACAGAACCGGTAAAAAAAACGGCGCTGGAGCCGGCAAACAAATGGCAAAACGAAACCGATAAAAGAACGGCCCTGTCGTTTCCAGGGCCCACTAAGGGTCGGGCACGTCTTCCCTACAGGCGGATTGTGGACGAAGAATGAAGAACACCCCCAGCAAAAACCAAACATACATCGAAGAATGATCAAACAGAAAATCGTCCCCAGGCGATGGTTTGACTGTGCTTTGATATTCCAGGGCCCAGGATGAGCCTGGCCGCCGTCGTCGTCGTCGTCGTCACCGCCGTCGCCGTCGTCGTGGGCGTCATCGTCGTGGTGGCCGCCGCGGTGCGAGGCCGTCGCGCGCCGTCGCCGCGCGGCGGCCCCAGGGAGGCCCGGACCCCTGCCCCGAAGAGGACGGCTTCCCCCGGGGCCGAGGGCGACCCGAGGAGGAGGAGGAGGAGGAGGGGGAGGGGGAGGGGGAGGAGGGGGAGGAGGGGGAGGAGGAGGAGGAGGAGGAGGAGGAGGAGGGAGGAGGAGGAGGAGTAGGAGGATGAGGAGGGGAGGCAGAAGGAGGAGGAATGAGGGGGAGGAGCAGGAGGGGTAAGGAGGAGGAGCGAGGAAGGAGCTAGAGGAGGAGAGGGGAACGGAGGAGGTAGTTGATTAGTCTCTTCAGTAATGATTATTAGTATTAGGAAGGAGGAGATGAGGATGGTAGTAGGATGATGAGTGCTTGATGGAGGACTATTAGGTAGTAGTATTCGCAGGATTAGTATGGAACAATTAGGAGTGACTTCGAATTAGTGAGGAGGAGAAGGAGGAGGATTGGTCCCTTAAGCCCTTCGGACAAACCATCCGCCTCAAAGGCCAACCTTTCGCCCCGGGTCCGTGCTTGATCCCAGGCCCGGCAGCGGGACTGAACTCACAGAGGGGCTGGAGCCAGGGGACAAAATCATACAGGGCAGTTTTTAATACACAGGATTTGAAAAACATGGGTCTAATACATGATCAATTTAGGAAGAAATTACGCATGAACTCATCGCGTTGTTGTTAATACTAAACCCTGCATGTGTAATACATGATCGGCACGCGGAGCATGTATCAAAAAAGACACTGTACCGTCGGACCCAAGACTCGAGCGATCAGACAACGGAATACTGAAACGTAATGCAACAAACATCGGCCGGAGACCTGCAACCCCATCTGTCTGCTCCACGTTCTGCGCCAGATCGATATGTGAGGGCCCCGGGGCCTGAAACAGGGCACAATCGCCAGTTGTGAAAAAAATGCACCGCCAAGATATGAGAGGAGATCTGGTGTCGTTCGCCGACGTGGTCGCCGCCTCCGCCGCATCGCAGCAGCTGGCCAGCAGGAGGGGGAACAGAAGCGGGAGCAGGAAGAAGAGCACGAACGGGAGGGGGTACAGTCGAATCGATATGGTAGCGTAGCCGCATATGGATAAAGCAAGCACAATTATGCAAGCCAGCGAATAGGTTATTGC